CAAACTCAATTATTATTTAAAAATAAATTATTTTAGTATTTTTAAATAAAAATTTATTAACATAATATAGTTCTAAAATCTTTTTTCCCTATTTTTTTTAGAAAGACAAACACTTTTCTAAAATATATATATACAATAAATCATTTAAAATCACGATGTTTATAATAAGATTTATAGATTTAATTTAAAATCATGACACAATTAAGTTACAGGGTAACATTGTAAGTTCTGTTGAGCCCCTAGAACTCTTGTTGTAGCAACAAAGTTGAAGTACATAAAGAACAGCACAACCCCACGCATATCCTTTCACAAAGCTAGAGCTTCAAAATTCCAATAGACTCAAACAATAACAGGATCCACAAGCAACAAGGCAATTGTGTCCTTGAGCAAGTAAGACTTTGTGTAGGCATCATCATCTTTGTACACCACATCCGTGGTACGCGTGAAGTTGAGAATGGGAGTGAGGAGAGGCATCGGAAAGGCAGTTGGTTTCATACAACCTTCATTGATCACTTTCCATGCATCCGCAATTTCTTTGCAGAAAATCTTCACTGTTTCTTCCCTTGAAACACCGTGTTCCTTTATGTAGCATTCGACAGCTGAGGACACATGATCTCGCTCTCGCTCAAACTGCATATATTAAATTTTATGTACACAGATATATATATATATATATGTTAAATTGTAAAAAAATTTATTTGATTTTAAGGAACATAGACAAATAGTATATATATTAATTATATACCTGACTGATGTGAGACAATATCATTCATGAGTCTAGATAGAATTGCAGAAGCCATAAGCATCTTAGGGTCATTAGAAATCCATTCAAAGGCTTCCTTGGATGCAACATTTCCCATTCCAACGTATGAATTTGTTACAAGCATAGGATAACCAGAAGAAATTTGAGCATTCTTCATATACTCCTCAAATGATGGAGCATAACCTTCTTCACGCCACTTAGATTCAACAAAGTAGGCTTTAGCAGCTCTTTTGAACTGTTAAAATGAACAAGGTTTATAATTAATAATGCATACTAAGAGGATAATATGATCCATCAATTAATAAAGGTGAATGTCTTACCGACTCTTTCGCATGTTGTACAACATATGATCTTCCTTCCTTTGCAACTTCCTCCCCCATTTCACTGTAAATGTCTAATAGTGCTTGATAAAATAATTTCATGTATTCTGGAAGTTGATTTATAACAATAACGTCCCACCTGCGCTTCAATAGTTAATTAAAGAACTCAGTAGGTTCCATTTCAAAAACAACTAATATGAAGAGACTTGATTGAAAACAAGAAATTTAACCTTTCAATGCATTTGGTTAGGAGTTGGAGCTCATCATAGGTCCCGTAGTTATCATAAATATCATCCATAACAGATGTTAATATAAATACTTTGGTCACAAATATTCTTGCAACAGAGTATTTGGGCTCAAAATAGAAATCCATTGCCCAAAAATAGCAATCTACCAGTCTATCCCTTGCAAAAGGTAGCTTTGTTGTGAAGTCCAGTTTTTTCCACCACCTGAAATAGATAGTCAAGCCATAAAAAACCTTCGATGTGCATAATGAAGTTGAAGCCTAAATCACCTATTTAATTGAACTTACTCTGTGATGCTACTGAGCTCCTTCCGATAAAATGCTTGTAGCAGGTTGAAGTCTAATTTTGCAAATCTTAATAGTTGTCCATTGTTGGAATCAAAATGATCATCTTTGGAATATAGAGAGATGTGATGCCTTGCTTCTAATCTTGGCAAGTTTTTGCGAATGGGTCAATTCAGTGCACGACTTATTTGTTCTGCTAACTGAGTGCTTACTTGTGTTGAAATAGATTCAAGACTAGAGGTTGTGAAAGCAATGGCTTCATCGAGGATATCTTCATCTGGTAGGGCAAGATGAGCAGCCTCGTACAAAATCAACATGCCAGGGACGTCATTAACTAAGTCAGCCTTGAATTTTCCATTCTCATTCGTAAACTTCTTAAATACATCTACCACAAAAGGAAGAACAAGTTAAGCGGTAATTGACACATATAACATGAAAACTAAATCTAT